TATTTTCATCAACATATTGCAGAAAGGATTATTACGTAGCCTCTCAAACGTCTTCCTGAAGAAATTCGCGACCCAATTAATTTTCAAATAGTAAACCAATTAATTATCTAGTTTCAAAGGAATTTCGATGAATGAATACATCCATTTAACGTACATAAGAATAACCTTTAAACAGTAAGAAAACCTACCAACATTATGTTAACGTGATTCCACATTACCACTAATATCAAGTTTTGGAAATATTCCTCATAATCATACTATTTCTTCCACTGAGTAATCATTGCATTGTAAAATCAATGGTTCCCCAATACGAAAATACTAGGAACTGAACGTAGAAGAGTCTGATACCGTTGTTTACAGAGATGTGTTTTCATGAGTGCATTGATCATTAAAACATTTTCATCATTCAACATCACTGAATGTTTTAATGCATGATAATGAATGCTTGAATTCTTGGAAAACCGGTCAGTGGTAGTGTGCTAGATCAAAGATGGAGATTCAAAATGCGATACACTACGAGACTACAAATGCGAGACACAAAATGCAGCAAAATGCATCGACAGCAGGTGCTGTATAAAGAGGGTTATCTCTTGAAACACGTTTGAATGATGAAAAGGTCCATGAAGGGATATGAGTAATGAACAGTGACCTAAATTGCGGTCCAAGTGAAGTTTGAACGACGTGGTATTTACACGACAAGTATACAAAAATAAGTTAATTTATTCATAAAATTTAAAATCCTGTAAATCCTTTAAAATCCTGTAAAATTTGTATCCTGAGAAGTATTTAATCGAGTTATTTATTAATACATAAATCCACAACGATTACATATTGCAAAATAATTGAAATTGCAAAAGAGAAATTGGAGTACAGTACAGAAGCTGGGAAAGTCAGTTTTGTCGCTTGAATACGTTAACACAATACTAAAATCCAATTAAATATTCCTGATGTATGCATGTTACCGCAAATAATCGGAATCAGCATTCAGCTTTGAATATTTCTATATAATTATCACTCCGGAAGAAAGAATTCAAATTGGGACATTACCTGTGTAATGTGTATTATTGATTACCTAAGGATAAGATTTTGGGTAAAACAATTTTAAATGCATGATTCGTATAAAAAATGTTGGTTGTTTCTACAAATTTTTCACTTTTATTCTTGTTTGAGTACCAGCAAAAACGTCAGAGGCTTACGCCAATGGTCTTAAAGTCAATATATTATTAAATGCTTTCTAACAAGAAATCTGACAAAGATTGTAGAGATCAAATTCTTACGACAGGTTTGTCCGGATCGGTCTCAGAGAAATAACGCTGTGAATTGTATATTTTTTCTTATCGACGAGTCAAAATATTAGTTTATTCACGTACTTTATAAGCAATGTTGCATGAGTACATGTTTTGAAGGTGAGCGACATTAGGAGCGAGATTTCAAATTTGTACAAATGCAACGAAGCAATATTATAAACGAGCTGCATACGCCATTTCTTGTGTATAACCGCATTATAAATTCGAATGATGAAAATAACGTAGCAAACACATCAACTACTTCTTCTCCTATTATTACAAACAAAAGGAGAGTTCAACAAACAATAGTGACGCTACATTTACGTCCAGAAGCAAAACAAGGGACCATCTCAGCATTTGCTCAATGGATCAGGGAAAATTGGACAAAAACCTGGTCGCGATGAGGCCTGATCGAACTGTGAGGCTTCGACCTGCAGAAGCGACCCTATAGTTAAAAGGTAGATGTTCTCAGATAGCATTGAACTCTGGCGTACCCATATGCCAGCCCGATTGTCTATCCTTGATGAAGATGAGCTTAACAAAAAAGGAAGGTGTCCACCCTCTGGTGTCCTTGAAAACCCTCTGGTACTCGTAAAGTAGAGCAGTAATTTGCAGCCCTATACTACCTACGATAAGCCACGTTTGTGTATCGGACAATACAGATTTTTTTCACCAACACGATGGATGATGCTCGACCAACCAACAGAGATCCTTACTGAGAATAAATGCTTTGATTACCCAGTGCTTGAAATATGTGATGGTTTTGTGGAAAGAGAGTCTTTGCTTCCAAGAAATACTTGCAGGGTAGAATCAGATCCGAAGAATGGATCGTAAGCTGAGGAATTCACGTGCTACCTGATTCCCTGACCATACTCGCACGTTGGGAATGTTTAGGGGAGGCCTCCGAGTCGGGGAGCCTAAAGAGAGTTATTGCACGGCGTGAACCACTTTTAACACATACGTTGCGAACCTACGTTTGAGCCTCAGCGTGTGCGCATACACGAACGGTACGCTAAAGTGATAACGGAAATATCCACCAGAATGAGCGAGTGTAATCACGGGTGGCTTATGTAGCGTACTGAACCAGTCAGATGACCACACTGTACGCAGTTACTAGTTTGTGATTGTGACTGCACTCTGTGCTGCTAACTCTAAATTCCCATAACGCAACATGTTGGAAGCATTACTGTGTATATATACTTCTGTGTACGTATAATAGTAATTATATTTGTTAATAGTGTAGTAATATAGTTACAGAGCAGTGTTTGTAGCCAGCTGTAGTCCAACTAATGTGCATTACGAGAATTTGGCATTATGGGAATTTAGCGCACACTCTGTCTTCACAGTACGAAACTGCAATGTCCTTGAAGAACTGAAAGTTTTGCAAAAACTCTTTCTTCACAACACCATGGTTGGAACTCATATCAAAAATTGCACTTAAAGAAAACAATTCATTTTCAATAAAGTTTTCTTCCGTTCTCACGCTACTGGTCACGTGGTTGCCCGATAACATTTTACGGCGTGATTGCGTAGGCTTCAGCGTCAACATTTTGTATGGTCTAGGCCAGGGGTGTCCAACTTACAAGGCCTCAATGGCCACAAGTAATATTTTTAATATGGTTGCAGGCCATGTTTTTATTACTAGGTAGATCCATACTTGGTCCATTTTCTTGATGTCAGCTGTTTGCACGGATGCTCTGAAACGAAGATCGGTGGGGGGAATTGAACTATGCGTGACATGAGGCTCTACAATGCATAACACAGTTAAACACATTGGGATGAGATTGAATTTCTAAATTGTCAAGTCAAGCATTTCTTAAATCTAAACTTAACCTATTTTTCTATCAAAATTTCTGAATTGACAAGTCAAAAAACTCCTTAAATCTAAACTTAATCCATTTTCTATCAAAGTGAGTGTTGATTCAACAGGGCGCGCAATGTTCTCTCCCAACATGGACGAAAGAGGCTTAAACATTTGTTTAATAATCTTTCGCGGAGCACAAAAAATGGCACCGCGGGCCCCCAGTTGGACAGTCCTGGTCTACGCTATCCGGGCCGAGTCGCGTCTGTGTCGTCGTGGCTGCCATTTCGGCAAATATGTTGTAGCCTTCCCCAGAGCGCACCGCTCAGCAGTGCACCCAGTACTGAGCAGTCCTGCTCAGTGTTGAGCTGACCAGTGCTGACCCTAGACAACCATTTGACGCGAAGCCGTGCAAAAACTCTCTGTTGCTTTTCTGTGGCGCCACGGGAAGCGCGAGGCGGGCGCGAGCGGCGGTGTTGAGGGCAGCGGCGGGTGCACAGGAGGAGGAGGAGGAGGTGGCGGGCGCGGGGCGCGGGAGCGGGAGCGGGCGCGTGGCGGGGATGGCGCTGGTGGCGCTGTCGGCGGCGGCGGCGGCGCCCGCC